AGTGACATTCCTACAGATGATTAGAGTAATTAAGCATGACTCTAGACACCAGTATTTGATTCTATCCAAATATATCAATTTCACAAGTTATTATCAGAGTCGGCAAATCTTTCAGCATTCAGCAATAGTCACAACAGACAAGAAAAGAACAAAACTGCCATTGATTCGGCGGTGAACTAACCCCCAACAGTCTATCACGGAAAGAAAGCCTTAAACTGCACAAGAAATAACTCTCAGTTAATAGACTGTTTTGAAAGAGCTCTTCTTCCTTAGCCTGAACCAACTAAAAACGCAGCATTGGCAAAACTCGATTCTAGGAAATATTTATTCGGTTTGTCTCTTTCGCCTTTCGAAATTAGTTGAATTTAAGCTTACTCGAAGATACTTAATGTTTACTTGCGCCTGAATATGGAACTCCTCTAGAGGTGCTAATGGGCCATTACTTTGAGTTTCATTGCAAATGCAAAACTTTATAGATCGATATTCGATGTAAAATTTATCAGAGAGTCAAGGTACCTACTGAACCGAAATTTATAGTCTCTTAAAGTTGGCGTTATTCTCTAGAATTGCCATAGATTTCAAGATTACTGCTTTGTTTATATTTAGTTAGTCGGCCAATAATCGGGTACACGTATTGTATGACTCATGTGATGTAGAAGGGAGGAATTGGACACGCAAACGAAAGCCGTCACAGCTGGCTAACAGGAATTGTTTATGTGGGCGTTAACCCACCGAACAACTTCGAAACCTCAGATTCAATACCCGCCATTTCATGAAAGGACAAATCGTATTAATTCAAACTGACTAATAGGGACTCGTGAATGTGAGAACGAGAGTTTAGAAATGTGTCTCCCTGTAGGCCTAAGAGCCATTTTTAGAGAGCTTGGCAACCCTAATATTTATCAATTTCGAACCGTGATAGTAATTCAAATATTCTCTTAGGGCTTTGGCTAGTACTGAATTCGTTAGTAGTCAAACTCGCAATTTATAAATATTGGTACGCTGATATTCCACATTGTGTATCGTTCTATTGAATTCCTCTTCCTCTGAATTGATTATAAGAACAATTTTGTTACTTTATTCGGAACAAAATCAGCGGTCAGATCTCTCTTTTAGGTAATTTAAAAAACTAGAATTTGATTGAACATCAATTTTTACTAGATGAGATAGAACGATTAGGAAATAATGGTGATTTGGTAAAACCACTTTTGCTGATTGAAGGATATTTTCAGACCTGGCTTGAGGCCTCCAAGCAAAGTTCAAAGTTTTTGCTTTGCTTGAGATTGCCAACTCCCAGAGGACGTCTTTAAATAGCTCACTTTCCTCACAAAGACGAGGATGTATAGTGCTTCTTGCATCAAAACAGTCATTTGGGGCAAACACTGGCGTTATTTTAATGTCCAAACACCAACAGTATGAAGACAACTGGTAACCCCATATTAAGGCTTTCTCTCAGGGTCTGGATCAACTACCGGGTTGGCGGTAACTAGTGGGGGGAGATAAGGAATAACAAAAGAAGCTCGACTTCCTGGCATTGGAAGAGTGTAGAATAGCCTAACTTTACAAAAAAACATTGATGTCAATTAATACTCCTAGAACTCTGTTATAACTCAATCTTTAGCATAAGCAACTATTGACTCTCGCTCGTTGGCTGAATTTTTTGCCCTCTCAGCCTCCCCTATCCTGCTCAAAAAAGAGGCAAGCCAAATGGCTGCTTATGTACTTTACAACAGTTTGTCATGACGATGCAAATCCAATTGAGATACGAACACCTGAGACGACACACGTTAGCCATAAGAAGAATCTACTGGAAAGTTGGCCATTCGAATATTATGAGAAACCTAGACAGTACACGTGAAACGAACCATGCTGTTTTACACTTTCCTTTCAAGATGATTAATTATCATGTATTCTTAAAATCGATAAAAACAATAATCTCCACACAATAGTTTAGAACTAACGTTAATTAAGATATTGTCCGATTAAAATGTGTATTTGTACAATTTGTTTTGACACTGTTCCGCAAAGTAAAAGTTTACTTCAATTTCTTGACACTCATAAAGCCTCACGTTTAAGTCACTGCCTTAATTCTCGAACATGATTTATATCCCTTCAAAGGAATTCGCAAAATTGAATTTTCAATGCTTTTATGGACGAATAAAAAGTTGTAGTTTGAGAGGAAAAGAACTAAGCATTGCCTTGAAAGTTTATGCAAGTTTATCCCTCCTCGCAAATAAACCTTTCACTGGTTCTACTATTTATTCAAATGCTTCCTTTTTGAGTGCATCAAATGGGATAATTGAATTCATATCTCGGAAATTTCATCAACTTCAAATTTTGATCCCTTTGAGGGATAATATCCTGCAACGCTTCTCTTTTAGGCAGAACATCGTAAAAACTCTTCAATTTGTAAATTCCAGATTGAATAGAGAGAATTCTGATCGATAAATATATTTGCCACCTTTGCCTACATAGGGCAAGGCAAATGGATCGAGGGGTCATGACCAATCACTTACCTTATAACATAGTGATCAAAAAGAAAGGAATACCGCAAATCGGAACCCACTCAGGAGCCTAGATACCGAGTCCTGAAGTTTTCACTTTGCAGTATTAGATCATGACTTAGCATTCTAAGCTTATTATGATGAAGTGTACAAGTAAATGAGTTCATATTTCAAGTAGACTTGAAGATTTTTCCTGGATTACATTGTCGGTTGGAGTTACCAGTTTTGACCAGATTGGTCCTACTCATCGTTAATATAACCAATAAGTCTAACCCTGGTGGAACATTATGAACCCGTCAAACGAATTATTTGAATTATCCACTTTAGAGCTTATTTCTGAACTCATGATCAACAAGCAATTCTGCTCATACGTTACCCCTCTCGAATATGAGTTGGCATTCAAAATAGATCCAATATAAGCATTCTTGGTTGTTTCTATCTTAACTCACATGAAGCAACTATATATGACTATGTAATTTGTATTTGCATTAATTTACCTCATTTTCAATGAAGATACTGCGGCCGATTGCATTGGACCTCCAGCAAAACCTGAGTTTTTCCAGCTTAGCCTCTGAGGGGAGAGTGCAGTTGCAGCTTGATTTGTATTGGAAGGATAGCCAAGTCCTGCTGCACTTTGAAGCCAAGCCATCTGCTGTTCCTGTTGCTGCCGTCGCAGATTTGTGGCGGTAGTCAATGCAGCCATCAATTGCTGGTTCGAGAGGTCAGAGAACTGGGGATTACTCATACCGGTCACTTGGGGAGTTGAGGGCACACCGAGGAAGGAAGCCGTCGCTGCGGCAGCTGCGGCTAGACTAGCAGCGTCAATCTGCGTCAATGGGGAGACCTGGGGCAGCAGGCTGGCCAGTAAACGAGTTGAACTGGGACAGCTAGCGAATTTGACGGTGATGGGTTCGGTGCTACCTGGAATTCGATAACCGTTAAGTTCCTGAATTGCAACTTCGGCTTCAGAACGCTGGTCAAAGCGAATAAAGCCGACACCTTTGGATGCACCTAAATAGAGAAATTTAATCAGTTGCAAAGTTTCCAACTCTAGCTACTGAAACAAGGAATCAGCTGGGATAGAATAGCTTTTTATACCTCACAACTTCAAGAATTTGACCAGTCTAGGTGCGCTTTTATGAAAGGATCACCTAATTTCTGAATTCAAAAGTTTGCTGTTAATGTGTAAGAGCCAAAATAGCACGAGGGTGTCTGAACGGAGTACCTTATGGCTACACCCAAAAAAATGACTCACATCAGACAAATCAGAAAGGTCAATGTGGGCTACAAAGCTAGTAGATGAATCCTTAACCCTGAGATGTCTACCTTGTTGCAAAAGCACCGTAGAAAAGTGGCATATGAATAAACAAAAGTTACCGGGCAGGCTTTAAGGTAGGCAACTTCCCGGTTTAATGGGTTAATTATAGAAAAATAAAACCAGAAATACATTTTTTGAGAAACGCTTGATTACCGACACTCTTAGCCATAAGGCATAGTGTATGCACTTTAAATTTCTTGTTTTAAATGATTGATTATTAGAGTATTTAGAAAAGGTTTAACATCAGAATTATGGACTTCCAAGTTCTACTAGAAGTGCACAACTTAAGTGTCTGGAAGATTATTCAATCAGCATCTTTGAAATAAAATCTGACATGAATCAAAGACATATGATGTACTTGAATGTTTTCTTTCAGGTTTATAATTAATTTTTAGATATGATTTATTTACGTTCTTTTATATGCTTACTATGCTATATAAGCAGCCAATAAATCAGGCGTTGTCAAGGCGTTTCCTATCGAGGTTCCTTTGCAGTCGAGGAAATTTAATCTCGTGGTAATTGTTTAAAATCTCCTTCAAACCTGTGAGATTCCTTCCAGTCCTTCCTTGGTTTTTATGAGCGGAAAAGCACTCTGCCATTACTCATTACTCCCATTTCTGCCTGGGAAGAGAAGCAGCTTCAAATGGATGATGGGCAAAGAGTCTCGGAATTCGCGCTCAAATTTTCGGGAAGCACGCATCAATTAAATTATATTTACCACTTTGTCTCGTTAGTTTTTTTGTATGGGAGATATTAAACTTGGAATGTTAATTTACGCGGGAGCTTGGGGATTTAAAGGTTTCCAAAGGATTCAAGCTAATTACCCCTCTAGATGCTTATTACTAACACCGCGATTTTAAACAGACATTTATTTTCTTAGTTCGGGAGGGAAGTTTGGTCGTAATTATTATTTTATAAACTGAAAGTCTAATTCAAAAGTTATTAAGTAAATAAATGGGTGATATAAGATATTTCAATATGAAAAATATCTCTCAAATATTGAAGTCATTTTTCACCCCCCAATACTTTGTAAATATGACAGACGAGAACACACCAAACCTCTTTGAATGGACAATTATAACGTCTGTTGCCTAAAAAACTCCCAGCAAAATGTTTACAAGAAAAGAAGGTGCAAATGAAGAAGAAATTCTTTTTATTGAAATGATGACTTCTTCCCTCCCCCCCCCCCACCCCACTCCCCAATCCCGGCGTCTCGAGATAGAAATAGACAAAGGCAAAGATTAATTCTCTTTGAAGACATACAAAGGAATACATAGGTGCATCTGTCGAAGAGAAGTTAGAAACTAGTAAATGTAATTAAGCCAAAAAGGCATCTTTTAACTTTCATAAGGAAGATTTGAAAATTGATTTCTCTCAATAGGAGCACGGAGATATCAGGAGCAGGAAGCATCTTTACACAGAGGACGGTTCTCCGAAAATGTCATTAGTCAGCTGTTCAAAACACAACATTTCCTAAGTACCCGAACGCGTTGAATAGTTGGTAACTTTTATTTCCTTGGGGCTGCAAATTCGGTTAGATGTACGAGGAGGAACAGTGGCATTATCCCTCCTTCCCTCCCACTCTCCTTCCCTCCCCCCTTTTCAGTATCTTTTCCTGCAATGATGCAAATACCCTATGACCTAAACAAGTCCATTTAAGTGGTCTGGAGGTTTTGACTGTCCCGAAATTCTCGAACCCCTTTGGGAGGCCATTTTGTGGCACAAATAATTTATTTATTTCAAATGGCAGGCGGTTTGATAGTTATCATTAGCCCTTTAGCTGACTTCGGGCGTAGACGGAACATCCAAGTAACAGAAAGTCGAGGGATGGGGAACAGTGAGAGGAGGAGGAACATCAAAGTGAGAAAAAGTCGAGAGGAGAGGAGAAGGAACATCAAAGTAACAGAAGGTCGAGGGATGGGGAACAGAAGAGTGGCTTACACTTGTAAAAGAGACAGACACAAAGGCAGAGAAAAGGTAGGATGATTACTGTGGAAGTGGTAGAATATGGCATCCAGTGGGGTTATGGTAGTTTGAAGTCAGAAGTCAAAATGCCGAGTGATAGACTTTTTTGCCGTATGAGTTATACGTTGCCCAGGGTGCACCACGTGGAGGTGAGTCCATCGCACACCCCGTGGCACAAATCATGGAAGGTATCATAATCCCCCTAAGGGGGAGCATGAACGTTGACCTCTCCTTTTAGTATGCAAGTTTAACCAGTGTGGTTAATCATTTGAGTTAATTGAGTGTGCATCGATCGATATCTGAACTATAGCCTCTAACTTCACTGACAAGCACATAAACAGCCACGCTTAAGTTCATATTCATTTTGTATCAACTTGGTTCCTCCATCTAAACTAACACCTTTTCACTTACATCTACTGAAATCTAAGTTATGCAAGCAGCGAATTGCATGAATTTTTTGACAATTAAGGATAGGTGTATATGATCAGATAAATGCCGGAAGTGCCTGTTTTGCTATGTTAAAACATTTGACCGATTCCCTGGTAAGCATTTTTATACTTTTAACTTGTAAAATCAGTAACATCAAAGCCAAATATTACAGTGATTTTTACCTTAAGATGGAACGGGCAATTCGAATGGAATGCGAATAATACTCTTCAATTTTCTAAACTGCTCGCGATTCGACTATGCAGCCTACAGTCTTAAGTTTTGCATGAAAGTTCTTGATTGTCTACGAAACGCTCAAGCCTTCTAGCATTTTGAGTTTGAGCAATTAGGTTCTAAACTTTACGGTATGCTGATAAATTGCATGTAAAGGTAGAGATATTTTTAAATGAATTCAGTTGCAATTGCCATGAACTGACTGACGTTTTAAAAGCCTAGCGAAAGGGGCGTATTAATTTACTTTGATCTAATGCAAAATCATGTTTATGTATGAGGGTTTATTTGGCAATTTTCAATTGCTTCAGTAGGAGGATCGTGATCACCGATTTGTACTTGTTCCATTTTTTATTAATATCAGCTTCCACTTGCAAACACCGATGAGGCGACATTTTGTTCCAATCTAAGTTTCCTTTGCTCTGTTTTGAAGCTTACTCTACCTCTCTCGACTTTCACTTGCTACGTTCACCGAAATTTGCTCTAATCGTGACTCGCTCATGGGGATAGCAGTAATTTGGCATTTTGTCCACTGCCGGTAGTCTTTGATCTTACGATCTGCTGACCTTGTTAGCATTTACACTTTTGCACAACATCTGTCTGGCATCAAAGACAACAAATTATCCTCATTCATACGGACCAAAATATGATTCTCAATAAATTACGTTAAGCTGATCAATCAGTTGGAATAAATTTAATTAAAGACGGTTGAGTAAGCAAGATCTAACAGTCTAAAGTGGTAAGTAAATGCCATTCCATAAGAGGTAAAGTAGTATCAAGGGAAGGCCATAGGCTGAAATAGCAATTTAAAACTGAATACTCGAAAATATTTTCTCAACATTTAAATAAAATCTATTAACGTTTTATTGTGGAAGGTGAAAATGCGATTGATTTTAGGATGCTCGATCAGAACGGGGAAAGTTTGAAGTATTAAAATAAGAAAGGCATAAATAGAAATTGTGCGAAAATTAACACTCGTTTGTCCTTTGGGCACAAACTATGAATATGCTTTAATCCTAGAAAATAAAATTTCCTCTTCATTATAAGAGGAAACAGAGTCTTCGCCTTGTATAGAAAATAACTTTTTAGTAGAAAAATGATTCCGTATGATTGGACAGAGTAGAAGTGGGTTAGTATCTTTATGAATACCCTGAATCACCTTCAATAAATGAGACTTTCCCCAACAACATAATCAGTTCCACCAAAGGGACAGAAGAGAGAATGAGGGATCTTTAGCACTTATCGTTTGGCACTCAAAGGACATTGTTATTTATCTGTCATCGACTTAAATTCTCGTTACTTTGGTCACACTCACACTTGTATGAGATTTCTCGCTTACCTGTGGTGGCATCTACGAGGAGCCGTGAGGTGATAATTTTTCCACATCTTGAAAAAATTTTTTCCAATTCGTCTTGTGTTATATTCTTTGGAAGGCCACAGATATAGAGATTCGCACCCTTGATAGATTCACTGCTAGGACGAGCAAGTGAGACCTAAAAGAAAACACATAATTACATTTATTTTGCACAGCCATTTACTCATCTCATTTCATTACGGTTAACAATCAAAATAATATTTAGTTTTGTGTGTTTGGTTGATTTAAAAGCAAATGAACGAGAGTATTTCTATGAGAAGTTGATTACAGCTTCTTCCCTTGAACTTAAAAACAAGTGGACTGAAGTAAAACGCAAATGAGGAGAACACACCAAATCATGCAGTCCTCGTTTGTTTAAATTATTAACAATTAGAGAAAAATCGATGAGCAAAGGTGTGCTGATATTTTGAAAAAAATAAGGAGTAAGAATCATGCCAATTTTGAGAGGGAAACTAAAAAGGAGTATATGACAAAATGAAGTCAAAGCCGAGAAGCCCAGCCCAGTTGGTCAGTCAGAGCATTCAGAAATGAGGAAGTATTAAAACACAAAGCAATTTCGTCTCACTTGATTGGTTGCGACTTCAATGAAATGAATGAAGGGAAAATGAGATAATAATGTGGCATAAAAGTGGTTATCAAATCTCAATGCTTCTTCAGTGTTATTTCATTCAATTGGTCGGCATTTAAACGAATTAAGCAGAGGTTTGATTTTTTAGTAAGATTAGGCATAGATAGCAGATAATTTATTATCAAAGTCAGCGTGTTATCAATTCAATCAATTTAGGAAGTGAACGACTAATAGGTTGGTAGTCAGAATTTCCCAAGTTTTACTCGTTTGAACATTGAAATGTAAAGTAAATTTGAAAGAGCAGGAAGTTAAAGCTCGGAGATTCAAATGATCAGTAATATTAGCTGATGGGCGACAACAGAGAAATGATTCTTGGAGTGTTTGAAAAGCTGAATGTGGTGGAGTTCTGCACAACTAGAATCTTATGAGCATTGTTTAAAATCCTCAGCCTATATGCTCATGGCGCTACCAAAAAATCCTATTACTTCAATTAGTTAACTGGCTATGAATATCATCTACTAGAACTCATTCAGAAACAACTTATTGTCTATAATGAAAGCGCTCTAAATTTCTCACACAATTGAAAATCCCTATTCATATTTTATCATTTTGTGTGCTTAAATGATATTCCATTAATTATTGAAAGGCGCTACCGTTTCCTCCATTAGTGCGGGTAATAATACAGCTTCCTCCACCTCTCGTTAAACGCAAAACAAATCCCAGTCTTTTTCAAAACTATCCCTTGGCTGATAGAAACACATTTCATGAAAAAGTACAGTTCAAACCCGAAAATACCCCCCCCCCACCCTAGCATATTCTCGGAAAAGTGCAAGGTCAAACAACAACACAAAATATCAGGAGACGCCATTCGATGTGGAAAGTAAGAATAACGATGACTATCGAACAGAGTGTGTGGGAGTGGGTGGGAGTAGAGAAAGGGGCGATAATTATATAAACTGAAACGCGACGACAGTTGCAAGCAGGAGAGATTTAATAAATAAATACAGAAAAAATAATAAATTTTGTGGGCTAGGGAAACTTAATGGGGTGTGTAGAAGAGTGGTTTTACTTTTGCAAAATATACACTTATTTTTTTCATTCATTTTTTGCGTACCGTCAATATGGGGGCATTGCATTCTAAACAGGAAAATGATCAAATGATTGATATAAAATTACAGTTATTTTTTTTGTTATTATTGTTATTTAAAATCGCTTTGAGTGTTAATTCAAAAGTTTTGTACACGATGACCACTTTCATTAATGGATTAAGATTAGAGGGAAACAGAATCGTAGACAGGGCATGTTAAAGGTCGTTCCCACATAAGCTTTCACAAAGTATGCATGTTGTTTGAAAGAATGCCCCATTTACTTTACAAATTCCATGATAAATCGGTAGTGCCAATCCCTCTGCAAATGCATTTGATGACATTTAAGGTTATATTGAATAAATTCGGTATACGGTACATGCATGCATCCATCGAATTTTGATTAATCTGTGTAACTTGCAGGACATCTATGACATTCCTTTGCTCTACACAATATTTTTGAAGATTAACTATCCGATGACGTGATCGAACTTCATCGATGCACAACAAGGAACTGTTGCTCAAGAGCTATTAACGCATCAAGCAGTGACCGAAAGGTAGGACTTTACTAATCAGAGAAACCACCAGGGTGTTTGTCCATTAAAAAGTGATGGGCGCGTGAACTCTAATTCCACTTTTGTCAAGATTTATTAAACATGATTATATCTCTTCAAATTCGTTCGATGAGTGCAATCAAGGGTAAGTCATCCAACATTCATTGGAAGAAGTAGCCTTGTCTAACATATTTTACTAACAGTTATATGCGATCAGCTCTATAATCGAAAGTGATGTTAATAATGAGATGCCAGGAGTATGCTTCAACGAACTCTAATGAATGTGGTGAAATAGCCAACATAGCCATGTTGAAGAAGTAAATGGCTTGATTAGCATCCCATCAACCAGACTGATATGGAGGAAACAAGATATAAAAAACGACCAATGGGCCAGTTCATGAAGTAGCTGAAGTAACACTCAGACCCCTTGTGGAACCATGAATTAAGATTAAGTACGCTTTTTGATGCTTCAAATTATATCCCCTGCTCCAGTTAAATATTCCCTCATCACCTTTATCCTCACCGCATGTTGAGTTTAGATACGTAGTCTCATAAAATCATGCTTTTTTTTAAGTGATCCCTTTGAAGTTGTTTAAAATAATTTAGTAGATTTGAATGAGATAAACAGTGTAGCGACGTCTCGGATTTTCTTCATTCAAAAGTGTTGAGGTCAATTAAAAGTAAACAGAGCGCGGTCTAGGCGCACCTATTCCTTGAACTATTTAAGAGGTCTCGTCGCTAGTTACACACGCCGGGCCATCGGCTGGCGTGTCAAAAACAGCGCATTGATTCGTGCGCGTAAATCACTGAACTGTGAATTGATTGTTTATGTGAGTCGTCCCAGTAACTTGCGCACAAGATCACCGTTTAGCTTACACTAAAACTGACGGCTACTGTTTATGTGCGGTTAAATGTAAATATATGCCATAGAAAGACCTTGGAATAGACGCTATATGCATACTTTCACAAAGCTGGACTGTTTATTACAATCCATACCTTAATCTTCTTATTCTTCAAACGCATGCCGTTGAAGTGTTTTATAGCTTTCTCTGCATCCGAGGCGTTTGCGTAGTTTACAAATCCGTAGCCCAGGCTCTGACCTATTGGTAAGAATAAAATATAATGCTGTTAAATGAAGATTATATCTAAATAAAAATTTAAGAAAAAAGAATTCCCTAAAATTTGACTAGAATCGGTGTAGGTTATCAATATCCCGTTTCTGTGCCGCGTAAGTGCTACGTTCAGAGATATGTCACAAGCCAAAATGTCACCCAATAAGACAACATAAATCAAAACCCATTAACATCATGGACATTCCATTCTCCTACCTTGCAGCTGACCCACAGAAATAAATGAGATCAAGGCAAATGAAAACAGTGATCAAGGTACTGGCCAATCGGATTAAAGGAATCCCTGCGTTGATTGGTTTGATCATCTTCAAGGATTGTTAGACCAATTATAATCCAAAAGTACTTCGCAATTACCATCGCCTTCATTACTCAGTATCAATTTTATTGTCATAACTTTTGCCCCCCCCCAGTCTGGACAAGTTAGTAGAATGGAGTCTGTCATGAGAATAGAAAGAATAGGATATACAAATGATAATATATTGATGATGAGGTCCTTATTCAAGCTGTATCGAAAGGCCTAATGAAATCCACACTTTTCGCACCAAAATAAGGGACCGAGATGGCGAAGGCAGACCTCCAACAATTTGATTGACTTGTTTTAATTGCACTTTTATTGCGTGGATTTTGGAATTTAAAGGATACAAATTGAGCATTACAAATTCACTTAAAACCATAAAATGGAAATTAAGAAAGTGCTCTCATTTAATCCTGAACTGTTGCTGATTCTACGGGGGGCAAAGGTTCATATAAATGTCTGCTTTTGAGAAAAGGGCACGTTTTAGATCCTTTAACACGAAGTAGTTGCCACCAGCCTACATTTCCAAATTGTGTTTTTCAAAATATAATGTTTATTTTCCCCATTCTCAAAAGGATTTAGAACAGATATTTTACGTGATGCCCAAGTTGTTAAACCTCAAGCTTGTGACGGAGAACGATACAAAGCAATTTTCCTCCCAAGGCTTACAACAGTTAAGGAAACCGAAAGAATGGGCCATTCTTCCACTTAAAAAATAGCAGATAGTTCAAGAAAGCAGGGTAAAGATTTTTTAAAATCAAATTGAGTGGGGTGAAAAACTACCTACAACTTGAAGTCCGGGAAATGGGTGATACATGGAATGTAGTAGAGATGGAGGCAAGGAAGTGGGAAGGGTTGCTGCGTAATTATATAAATGGAAAAGTGATTTATAGTGAGAGTACTTATTACACTGTTATTAAAGATGGACCACTTGAAAACAAAGCGGATTGTAGAGACAAAACAGTACCAATCAATACTCAATCCAATATGAATTCGACACACTTTTTTAAACAATATGCGATAGTTACATAATGATCAAATTCCATATCTCGAACAAAATTGTCCATTTTGCAATAAGGAATTCAAAGAGGTATTATTTAAGAGGTCGTATGCTCTTCTGTCGGTGTTATGAAATTACACTATAGTGAATAACAGTTGCGAACATTGAAAACAAAAGCGTTGCGAGGTACGTTAAGGAAATTATGGAATTTTAAACTGTACCTGGAAATTAAAACCCTTTGTGAACTTATTGTTCAATTTTTATAATGAAACCCCGTTGTCGAAGTTTTGAACTGACGCTTCGACAAGTTCAAAAAGGTGTTTATAAATCGAAATCTGGAGGCATTTTTGATATTTCGAATTTTCTGTTTCTTCCATAGAACTTCTAGTTCTTTAAAAATATAAATATCTAATCTGATAAATTTTTTTAACCAACTTATAATGCTTAAATTGTCTGCGAAATAGCATTCTTTTCAATTAGACACTGCCACACATTTGTTGGTGTCAAAATCAAATTTCACGAAAATAACTCAGGCGTGAAGAAGTTTATATTTCCCAAGAAGTAAAAATATCAATAAGATTTATAAAGATCGACTATTAAAATGGCGACAAAAAGAATGCATACAATCGATATCTAGGGCTTCTGTATATCGTCGCCTGAAGTAATCATCAAGGGAATGAAAAATATCAACTGTCCAACTCTCTTTTTTATGTAAAAAAACTACAGACATTGTTACCATTTTATATTGTCAACTTAAATTCATCTACTGGAAGACTAAACAAGTTTATTAACAAAATTTTAGAACCAGGGGATTTAATAATGTTCTTGCATTAATATATAGGTGAATGAATTCAGAACATTTAGTGGGGCAAACAGCATTCAAGTAGGTTCCAACGTTGTCTATTGTCTAACCGTGGAAAATAGGTTAAGAATGTACCCAATTATTCTAATGGTAAGACAAGAATTTCGTCAAAATGATTGGAACCAACAGCTGCCCAACTACTAATGCATTTAGAAATATTTTAAAAATATTGTACCTTTAGTGAATGGCATTATAAATCCGCAATTTGCAGTAATAATAACCTGATTAGAGTGCAAATTCCTTCATAATTTAATTAGAGCGAATTGAAATTAAAATTGGCATGTAACTACGCACATTATCCCACAATTAAGTAGCTGCAAGTATGCATTTGGATCATGTCTTTTCCTGAGAATTTTCGATTGTCACTTCCTACCGTTCGAACGAGAGACACTGGAAATGTGTTAAATTTAATTTAGAAGATGAAATCAAGATCGTGTAAAGTGGATAATTCAATTGAGAAATAGGAGAAAGGCTTACCCGTGCTCTTATCTCGAATTAATTTGCAACTGGATACTTTGCCTATGGTGTTAAATAAAGCCCGTATTTCCTCTTGGTTCATACTCTGAGGCAAGTAATTCACAATCAAATTTGTTTTATTCTCGCTTGTAGCTTCCGAGCTATTTTGACTTGAAGGACTCTTTTCTGTTTCTTGACTTGTGTCCCTTTGTTCGCTTTCTGCGGAATTGACTGACTGACTTGTAGAAGGGACAAAGGAAATCATTCTGCCTGTCAACAAAGAAAACATGTTCAAAAAAAGTTAAAATAGATTCAAAGTAAAATATGGATGTCGAAATTGGACCACTCCATAAAAATTTCATTTCCAGAGTCTTTTTTTGTATTTTAGGTTTCTTGGTAACTCCTCAAACCTATACCTGGGCTTAAAATACTTGTATTGAAGTGAATAGCTGAAAAATGGCATGATAATTTGGTATTTATTCTGACCCATCTTCGGCATTTACAAGATCTTAGAAATGACAGAGCTTTTTAGAAGAATACACTTTCTTTTTAATACGAGAAGTAGATTTAGAAACTTCTAAAGGTTTCCATATCTTCTGCTCTACTTCCAATCTAACCACTCAGGGAAGCCCACCACTTTGTCAATCTTTCATGTCCTTATTATTAGCATGAAAAGTATTCCAAAATTCCCAATCTTTGGACTATACCTGGGCCCGCAAATTCACATGAACTAAAACCCATTCTGCATAGATAAGTTCTACTCTCCTTACGTCATGGTGAATCGAATTTTCCCTGGGCAACGTAAAATAAAAAAAAAAACAAAAGCAGGCGTATACCAGCAAAGTGCTTTAATTGTTCAATTTTCAATTTGCTTTGTCTTCAGGATATTAAACTTTTTCTTGCGTGCTATCACGTGCAAGACAAATAGAATAAGCGACTTCGAAGCGCAGAGATGGCTTAGTACATTAGTAATCATTCGTTTAAAATTCCATAACTATTTGCTAAATGTCAATTTTTTAATATTTTGACATATATTTCGTTCAAAGCGAATTCTTACTAAAGTCATGACACAAACAATCAGAAGCAGTTTTGAAATAAGTGTATAAAAATATTGATAGCAATTTACAAAAGCTGGGAGGGGGGGGGTGCAAGATATATTTAATTTCTAATGAATTCTCTTAGGCGAGGAGAAGAACACTGGTTCTTGTAATGGGCTTGTCTCTTTATTGCAGTAATTCGAAATGCAAAGAGCGTTTTGTTTACATTAACGCCATAAAGGCCTTTGAAAAAAAAAACAACATGTCATTTCCAAGACTCAAACAAATAAAACCTTTTCGTAAGCAATCGTGTTGGGTGCTGCCTTTTATCCGAGCGACTAAATGGTATCCAGGATTGTCTAATCTAATTAATGGCCTAATTAATAAGTAATCAGGGAAATATTAATATCTTTTTTTAAATGCGGATATCAAAAAATGTACAATATTAATCCTATGTAATGTGATTTCAAGAATGTTTAAAGAACTGCTAATGTTGCAACAAATGCACTTTAAGACGAGCGAATATATTTGAAATGTACTAGGCTAACTGAAAGTCAGTCATCAGTCGAAAACATCATGAAAACCTACGTTTTATAATTTACTATGTGATTTGGCAGGCATCAATGGTACGATTGTTTGAATTTGAATAAAGAATGAAACTTTAGAATGACTTTGCGAACGATTTTAATGAAACTCGACTGAGATTAGCACATTCCTATTTTACGATTCAAATTAACTGACCATAATTAAAAACATAATATTTGATATTTATGAGTGAAGAATTTTTAAAAGAATTTGTAAAATAATCTCGAACCGGAAAAAATGAGAAGTGAAAAATAAAATGTAAAACAGCTGACCTATGCTTTTTATTAAAATGGCAAAAAAGGAATTAACACTTAAATTATAAAAAAATCGTGAGTGAAAAAATGGCAAAACGGAGCATATATTACCTTGAACAAAAAATAAGTGTTTACTAGTTTTTTCCTATCGAATGGAGATATTTGAGCGAGCAATGCCCTATAATTTGACAACGCAATAGTTAAAATACTTGGTAATAACTCGGTTCACCAATCCCATACCAGAATGGACCCTTCTTAGTGATTGGCTGATGTAAATCGACAGTCAACCAATCACATCGCACAGATTCACATGGCGCAGATTTTGTAAACAACAAATGCAAATAGGCGGTGTAGGAGACATGCCTGTACATGCACTTTCTTTCATTTTGCAACTCGTAATTTACCCATATAAAATGGGTGCCGTGAAATATTCAATGGATGGGAATGTTGTAAATAAATGAAGTAGAATACCAGGCGCATGGTTCACCACACTCTCTAAGAGGTCTCCTGAGTTTTAATATTCATCTGTGCATATACCTATGGGCTTGTAGTAAATCAGTATCAAATGAACGCTAATGAGATCGGCAAAGTTTGAACTTCAACTAGCAAGGTTTTGAATATCTAAAAGGATTTCAAAAAACAAGGCAATTTTCCCGTAATTTCTATTGGTCAGTTATGTTTAAACTATGTGAACTTTTGAAAGATAAATTTCGAAAACAACAAAATATAGAGATCAAGCCATAAATGCACTACCTAATAAAAGCAGACCTAAATTTGGTTCTCAACAAGTTAATTTAAAGCGTAACTGGATTGCAAATTGTTCTGAGAACTCTGTACACTTAGTAATTGAAGCTGGACTATCTAAATTAACTATGGGCTTTATATACTCATTTTGGGTTTGCTTTGTATAATGTACTGTTATTCTGGCTTCTTCACCTTTCAAAACCGCGATATCAGGACTGAATGCCTCAATATTTAAAATTCTATATGATCAGGAAGTAGCCTACTAATCTAGATGATAAATCAAGAAATTTCGATTTTAGTTCACGAAAGGTGTATAAAGCCCTATACAAACCGTGACCTGCAATCAAATGAGAAAGATTCTACGCGACTCTGAATTTATTCTCCCCATTTTTCGAACCTTCTCATTTATCATTTTTTGAACTTATCGCTAACTTTCTCACATTAAAATATTGTTGCTTTTATTATCTTGCCAGGGTTTATATTATTACTACTATTTGCCCTAATTATAATGACCTAACTGAATTAAAGATGCATTTCTGAATGGGTCAGGTATTATAAGTACTAAACCACAACAGGATCCATGAACATTGGCAGAGGATGTCACCGAAAATAAGTCAACTTTCAAGGACTATGTTAATCAGATCAGGCATCATGATCATGTCATCTTTGAAGTCACAGACTAAGCTGCTGCTATTGTATTTTGGATTAAAGTACAGGCTAATTAGAAAACAAAATAAAATAAAACTACTCAGGTAAAAGATGGCCATTTAAAATCTTTTAAAGAACTGTAGTTACGACCCAAAATTGCGATCAATTCAAATAGACTAAGTAAAGACAAAATAAGAAAAGAGAACTTTTTATTCGCGTGCATTTGAAAATTGCTTCCTTTATTTCCATTTTTCTGGTAAATGTTGTAAAATGTGCAGACAAAAGGATTTTAAATATTTTACGGTCTCGTAGTAAATATGAAGAATTAAAAGTGTCAAGCCTTAAATTGACGAGATGTGTTGGTCAAAAATGGTTGCCAATTCAGTGCAAGTGTCTTGAGAGTTATCATTAGCCCATTAGCTGACTTCGGACTTCACTGAGAGGAGGAGGAACATCGAAGTGACGAAAAATCGAGATTGGGGACAGAATAATGATTCACAGATGTAAAACAGACAGACAGACACAAAGGTAGCGAAAAGGTAAGATGAGTACTGTGTAAGAGGTGGAATATGACATACAGTGGGGTCATTGTAGTTCTAAGTCAGAAGTCAATTGTCGGTTAATGGACGTTTTGCTGTATGAGTAAGGATTGCCCAGGGTACACCACGTGAAGGTAAGTCTACCGCACACCGAAATAGCAACGAATAATAATAAGTTAAACCAATTTCCATTAAATGAGTTTTCCTTAATATCTTAGTCAATCATTTTTGTGCAATCAAAGAGATATTTTGCCATTCCATAATTATAAAGTCAAGGGGTAAAAGACATGCCGCTGTGATCATTCTGAGCCGTGGGAAGACTCCAGAGTGCTTAAGTTTTATAGTAATATGCATTAAGACAAAGGGATAATTAAACAGACTTTTAATTTTAATAACTCAGAGAAATATTTTAAGTACTTTAAGAGATTCCACTATCCACCAACTATAAGCTGCCTAAATTTTAAATTTTTTCATATTTAGAATTCTTGCTTCACATATAATAATTTTTCTATTTTCACCATATTTTGGCCTAAATCTGAGAACTTAAAGAAAGGACGTTGAGATTATGGCACAAAGGCATTATCATTTTAAAAAAATAAATTAAGAATGCTTTCAGTTAGAATTAAACATAATACAAGTGAGCCAAATATGAAGCTCATTGCTGATCCTCTAGTCTTGAGACTTGCATGATAGCTTCTAACGGTCTAAAGTGTACGTCTGCAATACTCGCTTGAAATCAAACTTTATTGTGAACCAGTAACTTGGCGTGTTTTGAAAAAATATATCAAAAATCTGAAAATCTATTTACCCAATTACACTAATAGCATATTTTTCTGCCATAGTATTAGGACATGGGTCAAATAGCCTTCAATACAGTAGTATAGAAGGAAGTTGAAGAAAACTGATAAATTTCTGCTTTGAATTCAAGAGTTGTACATTGCGATCACCATTATTTGAGGCTCATCGTCACTGAAAACTTCATTCTTTTAATTTTTTAGGGTATTCGTTTTAATTTTAGCTTTTAGTATGACCAGGTAAGAAGTTAGTAAATTCTGGTTAACAAGAGCAATGTTTTGACTTCATTTACACTTTCCCAATTACATTCATCCCAAATTCGAGAGAATGCAGGAAAAACAAGCACATGAATTTCCCAAGTTCAAACGATTTTCATCTCATATCCAAGATAACTGTAAAAAACTTTCATTTTTAAATTAACTCAAGTTAAGACTTTTCATATTTTTACATGATCGAAACTTATCATAAAGGGATGCTTATATTTAAAAATCTAACCTGCAATTGACTTAAAATAAAAATCCCTTATTTAAATAAGATTAATTGGGGTGTGCGGTAGACTTACCTCCACGTGGTGCACCCTGGGCAACGTATACTCATACGGCAAAAAAGTCTATTAATTGGCAGTTGACTTCTGACTTCAAACTACCATAACCCCACTGGATGCCATATTCTACCACTTCCACAGTAATCATCCTACCTTTTCTCTGCCTTTGTGTCTGTCTCTTTTACAACTGTAAACCACTCCTCTGTTCCCCATCCCTCGACTTTCTGTTACTTTGATGTTCCTTCTCCTCTCTGTGAAGCCCGAAGTCAGCTAAAGGGCTAATGATAACTATCAAAACGCCTGCCATTTGAAATAAATAAATAAGATTAATTTAGAATGGCTGGAAATCTGATCTTCAAGCATTTTAATTTACACCCTTTTTAAATTCTTGTT